AAGAAGAAGAAGAAGAAGAAGAAGAAGAAGAGAAGAAGAAAAAAAAGAAGAAGAACAGAGAAGAAGATGAAGAAGAAGAAGAAGAAGAAGAAGAAGAGGAAAGAAGAAGAAGAAGAAGAAGAAGAAGAAGAAGAAGAGAAGAAGAAGAAGAAGAAGAAGAAGAAGAAGAACGTAAGTACAAGGTCTACCACAAGTTTCATACATAGGAAATAATAAGGATATCATCAACACAATTAAAAGCTTAACTTCAGCTGGGATTATACGTTTTCTTCGGCAGCGGAGGAAATGTATAGAAATGATTTGACATAAGTAGTTGTTTTTCTCGTTCACCAGCTGCGAGCTTTAGTGGAAAGTTTTGGGTGTTCGTCCACCGTCAGATTTTTAGTCTTCTTCCAGAACCTGAGTGTCGCGTGCACCTCTGTTTTACAAATCTGGCTTATTTGTGTGCAAACTTTTGGTTTCTCGCCTCTCAGGCAGATGTACTACGACTTTAAAGGGTGTCGCCAATTACTCCACTCCTACGACATGCTTGTTGGAGTGGCGGTGGATCTATTCTTGTTTTCTCCACAATGAAACCTCGGAACCCACATGTGAAAACAGTAGTTGTCATGACAAGCATATAAATAAACAAAAATAGTTTTCATTCCTACATATAGAAATTTAAGTGGCACTCTTTGAAACTTCAGAATCTGAGGTAACTACAGCTGTATACTGAAATAGTTGAATTGAAAATAATGAAGAAACTTACCAATACACTCATTAGCATCACTGTTAGAGGCCCTCTGCCAGGGTCTATCGTAGTAAAATGGCTGACACTTCTCACAATCAAATCCAGCAGTGTTGTGTTTGCAGTCACAAGTCAGGCGTCCGTCTCTCCCCGTGATGCAGCGAGAGGCGTGTCCATTGCACTTACACCTTCCGCCTACGGCAAAATCAGATAGGGAATAATAGTAGCTTTTCTTAGCGCCATCATCATCTTTGGCTTCGTCTCCTAGGGTGTTGAGTTTATTGAAGACTACCTTGATGTCCGTGGCGGTCACCCAGTCCTGTAGAACGGGGCTGTTTTCAAAATCCAGAGCCGAGGGCCTACCTTCTAGCGTGGAGTAGGCCACACGAGCTCCCGTGAAAGGGTCCATGTTGCTGTACGCCTCCGTACAGAGAGCTTCCTGTTCGTTAGCCTTGGTTACAACTGCTCTGGCTGATTTGCCGTACATTTTCTTGCAGTCGTTGGAGTAGTACTGGAAAGGAATCCAAGTTTTGCCGTAGTCCACGCTCTTGTAGATAGCCATGGAGTGCGGTCGAGCCGAACAGAACTGCAGGCTGGGGACAGGAAAAATAAAAGAGATTTATATAATCTCAAAAATCTGAATAAGAAAGAGACAAACACTGTTCTTTGGCCACATAATGAGCAGAGAGGCATTGGAGAATATCGTGACAATAGGAAAGATCAGTGGGGAAATGGGTAGAGGTAGACCAAGAGAGATGATGTTGGATGTGCTGAAACGATGGCATGGAGGGATATCATCAAGAGAGCTGTTCCAGACAACCAGGGATCGTGACCTGTGGAGACGCATGAATGCCTACGCCAGTTGGCAGGGCACATGATGATGATGAATAGTGGTATTTCCTTCTTATCTGGCTGAAATGTGTCTTTTAATTAGGGCTGTACCGAATAGTGATTTTCACTATTCGGCCAAATACGAATAGCGGGACCAACTATTCGGCCGAATACGAATTGAAATACGAATAGTGTATAGTGTATAAAATATATCTTTAAAAAAAATTTTTAACACATTCATAATATCAAATGAACGCTGATCTTTTACTTCACATAAAGTAGCACAGAACAGTCATCTTCTTCTTTAGCATTCTGAGCCCTTGAGGTTTACTGCTGCAGATATCACTCGTCTCCATTCATCTCTCTGGCTGGCCTTATCTTCACAGTTTGTGACACCAGTTGTTTGCAGGTCTGGCTGGGCATTCTGACATTCTTTCAATATGCCCCAACCATTATAGTCTGTTAGCTCTCATAATGCCAATGATCAATGGTGATTTAAACAGATTATGTGTTACGTTGTTGCTTCTCACTCTCCATTCCCCGCTGTTAGCATCTTTGATAGGTCCAAAGATTTGTCGTAAGACTGTTTTCGAAAACCTGTAATAAGGCCTCATCTCTTTTATTTCTGCTTCAAGTTTCAGAGCCATATAAAACGACTGGTCTTATCAACGTTTTATATATTTTGATCTTGGTGTTGCGAGACAGACACTTTGACTTTAGCGGATGTTGAAGGGCATAGTATACTTTATTTGTAGATTGTATTCTAGATAGTATTTCTTCTCTCAGCATGTTGGAGCAGTTGAATTTTGCACCAAATACCTATAAGTTTCCGTTCGTTATTTTTTTCATAGTATCGACTTGGATGTGGCCGGAGTTTATATTCTTTCCATGTCTAGTTAGTATTAGTACAGAATAGTAAACATTTAAAAACATTTTATGTTTTACATCCTTCAGTCAGTCTGTGGTAACTAATAACTAGGAATGAAAGAATCCTAAGTATTATAACAAGTAACTAAACTTAGAAATTGTCACTGACAGCTTAGTTAATGCAGGAAAACTGCATTAGATTTGAACAAAACCAATCAAAGTGTATGCAGAAGCGGGTGTAAGGTAATAACTATTCGTATTCGGCCCGACCACAACTATTCGGCCGAATATCGAATAGTCAATAGGTCCACTATTCGGCCCCGAAGCGAATACGAAGCGAGTATTCCGCACAGCCCTGCTTTTAGTACTGTCCTGATCTCAGCAACTAAAGTATACATGTAGGATGTATATTAGAATGCTGAATTAGGAATCGATATCACAGATGTCGGGACATTCCAGTAAACACTCCGTCCCCATCTTCGACAGCCAGTACAGACAGTTATCATTCTGATGGCACCAGTAAACAGTCCGTCCCCATCTTCGACAGCCAGTACAGACAGTTATCATTCTGATGGCACCAGTAAACAGTCCGTCCCCATCTTCGACAGCCAGTACAGACAGTTATTATTCTGATGGCACCAGTAAACAGTCCGTCCCCATCTTCGACAGCCAACAGTTATAACTCTGATGGCACCAGTAACATTCTGTTTCCTGGTCACTGCTGAAAGCACCATTCTCCTTTCGCCGTGATGACCTATTTAAGCCTCCACACTTTTCATGCACTCCTAAAGAACCTAGCTTGTCATGCATCAAATCACGAACACGTGGTGCAGAACCGGTCAGTCTAAGGTCTAGTCCATATCAGACATGGCTCAGGTCTAGTCCATATCCCGTATGGCTCAGGTCTAGTCCATATCCCGTATGGCTCAGGTCTAGTCCATATCCCGTATGGCTCAGGTCTAGTCCATATCCCGTATGGCTCAGGTCTAGTCCATATCCAATATGGCTCAGGTCTAGTCCATATCAAATATGGCTGAGGTCTAGTCCATATCCGATATGACCAAGGTCTAGTCCATATCCAATATGGCTCAGGTCTAGTCCATATCAAATATGGCTAAGGTCTACTCCAAATCTGACATGGCTAAGGTCCAGTCCATATCCGATTTGACTAAGGTCTAGTCCATATCCGATTTGACTAAGGTCTAGTCCATATACAGTATGGTTAAGGTCTAGTCCATATCCGATATGGCTATGGTCTAGTCCATATCCAATTTGGCTAAGGTCTAGGACTCTAGTCCATATCCGATATGGCTCAGGTCTAGTCCAGGGCTATTTAACTAAGTTTACTCAGATGCCAAAATTGGGAAACTATGAATCATTAAGGGCCAGATGCCCCAGGTCCAGCATAGAAAGACCATTAATTCAATACAAAAGGCAGTGATCCGCGGGCCACTGGCTAGGCCTTCGCGGGCCTGATCTGGAAGAGAACCTCAGATGACAACATCAAGAAATGGGCAGGACTAAGTTATCATACACTGAAAATTAAATAAACTAAGAAAGGAAGGCAACGCTTCGATTTAATCAACCTAAATCATCATGAGTAAAGCACATCCACCAGAGTTGAACAAATACATGGAAAAGGTTTTGACATTGAAGCTTAATGGTAACCGTAAGGTGACAGGTACACTACGTGGATTCGATCCATTCATGAACCTTGTTGTTGATGACTCAGTTGAAGAGACCAAGAATGGAGAAAAGAGGAATATAAACATGGTAGTTATCCGTGGCATCAGTTTAGTTCTTCTGGAGTCGCAGGAACGAGTTTGAATAAAATCATCACTTATCAGCTCATTTCATTTTTTTTATTTTTATTTTCTTGTGAATATGATAAAATGTACACTTGATTTGTATTGATGATAGTTGTGAGTTGGTATGAATACAGTTATGAGTACTTTGTAATAGTGAGGTAGAATATGTGTAGTATTTCAATTAACAGTGTTGAAGCACACTTGTAGTTTCAATTGTTTTTTGTTTTTCCCCACCACGTGTTGGAGTTGAAGATAATAAAAGTGTTATTACTTAGGGAAAAAAAAGTTATACACTTGGTCATTAGGCGGAAAATAGAAGCAGATGGCGGGTTTTGTGTGTTAGTGTTTCGATCAAAACACCTCCACGGCCCTAACGGGTCAAGGGTTTTGTTATGTTGTGTATGTAGAGAGCATCGAAAAATGCACGAACTCTGCAGCTGTTGTGACGATCCCAAGAGATTTAAGTAACAAAATTGCACTGGCGAATGGGGAACGATCGACGCAGCCATGGAGCGAACCTATGACCTGCTTGGACAACACTCTACAGACTAGGTTGGGCGCTAACACGAACGCGTAGAATGGGAGTAGAGCTTGGTGAAGCTCATCTGTGTCGTCTTCGAGGTCGAGACAGGAGACACTATAACCAATTTATCATGTGAACAAACAATAGAGGTACCTTGAAGTGGCTGTTGCATCGGGGGACAGAGCACACAGGGGAATGCCCAATGTGAAGTGACGCTGAAAGTGATAACACAAACAGTTTGTACTTACCTGATGTAGGTGAGCTCAAATTTCTTGTCCAGGCTCAAGGAGAGAGTGACGTTGGATGGGTACTGGACGGCACTGTATGTCTTGGACATCCAGCAGGTCAAGTTGCTGGGGTTGTTGAGGTCAGTCAGGTACTCGGGTGGGAAGCTGTACTTGGGGTTGCTTGCATCACAAACAAAGCAGTGCCTGCAACAGAGGGCAATCTTCGGCGGTGAGAATACGTGAGGATACAAGTGGGTTACCATGGATTCTTCTTCTTCTTCTTCTTCTTCTTCTTCTTCTTCTTCTTCTTCTTCTTCTTCTTCTTCTTCTTCTTCTTCTTCTTCTTCTTTTCTTCTTCTGCTTCTTCTTTTTCTTCTCCTTCTTCTTCTTCCTCCTCTTTTTTTCTTTCTTTCCTTCTTCTTCTTCTTCTTTTTCTTCTTCTGCTTCTTCTTTTTCTTCTCCTTCTCCTTCTTTTTCTTCTTCTTCTTCCTCCTCTTTTTTCCTTCTTTCTTTCCTTCTTCTTCTTCTTTTTCTTCTTCTGCTTCTTCTTTTTCTTCTCCTTTTCCTTCTTCTTTTTCTTCTTCTTCTTCCTCCTCTTTTTTTCTTTCTTTCTTTCCTCCTTCTTCTTCTTCTTCTTCTTCTTCTTCTTCTTCTTCTTCTTCTTCTTCTTCTTCTTCTTCTTCTTCTTCTTCTTCTTCTTCTTCTTCTTCTAATTCTTCTTTCCATCTTCTTCGTCTTCTTCTTTTTCGCGTTTACGGACTGTGAACTCTGGCGGAAAGCTTTAGGTGTTCTTCCATCTCCGGACATTAGTCTTGCTCTAGAATCTAAGTGTGGCGTGTGCATCCGTTTCACAGATCTGGCTTATTTGTATGCAGATTTGTGGTCCCTTGTCTTTCAGACATATGTAATCCTACTTCGAAGGATGTCCCCAGTCAGTCGACTCATAAACATACTTGTTGGGGAGGCAGTGGGTCTATTCTTGTTTTCCCCACAATGGGGCCCTGGAACGCACTCGGGGATCTGACCAAATGTTTAAAAGTAAGAGAGCACATAATGCTGTGTAGAGGATTATAATGGTACATTCATTCACACATTTTGCATTTTTTCTAACTGAAAGAGTTGGCTACCACGAAAACGCACGATATTGTCAAAATATGGCCGTACATAAATGTTCTGGCACTCTTCCGAATACCGGTCCCAAATTTTTAACTGCGAACAATTTTATCACTCGGCGGGTAATCGAACACCGGTCACCCGCGTGACAGGCAGGATACTGACAACTATACTACCAAAGACCTTGGAATTTGGTTCAAATGAAATTATATAATAACACGATAATAACGCGAAGCATAGTTCGTAGTGTTCTTGTTCCATATTTTTAACCACATGACCTCTTGAAACCCTGAATGGGATTTTTTATAAACATTGAATAATTTCGAACCAGTATTCGGAACAGTGCCATTGCGATCCTTTAAATTTAAATAACTTAAATCATTTGTGTAAAAATATGTTCCCATTGTTAGTAAGTAAAGTAAAGGTCCCTTTTCCACGCCTTTAGGCGTATTAGGAATACAGGACTAGACCTATATTTGTATCGACCAATCGGCACTTGGTGTGTGATATGGTCAGCATCACACCAGCTGCCTTTACTTGCCAGGACTGCACCTGATACCCACTCAAGGCTGGGTCGTCATGGGAGTCCTAGACCGCAAAAATAAGGTCCATTAAATAACGATCTGATATCTGTGAACGTTGGGAAGACGTAGAAGAAGAAAAATTTTCAATACAGTCATTGTAATTTTTCATTAAATAAAGTGTAATAAAATACTCGGCCATTTAGATACAGATTGATCGGCTCTGGAGCTTATATGTTAGTGTACACGTTTCACAATTTCACGATCTTCCACGACGGATAGTTTAGCAGCATTTAACAAGACAAAACCAGTTCACTCTTGTGCCTTTTTGCAGCCGCAGTGGTTTAGCGGCTAGACGTTCGTCTGTGGATACCAAGCTTGTGGGTTCAAATCCGCATGGTACCTTTTTTCGAAAATGTCCTTGGCTCACAGGTCACCCCACCTTAAACTGGTACCAGGCAGAGTCCTGGGAAGTAAAAGCGGCCGCCGTAAAGTTGAGGTCCGTTTGTCCACAAAAATGTGAGTCTAGTCCAGTATTTCACAATCTGTCATGTTCCACCTGAGCCTTTCTCAAATGCTTATGATCCCTGTGTAACTTGAACTCTGGACGAGTCCATTTTCAAACCCCTCCACCCCCCCCCCTTTTAAGAATAAAATCCTTTTATAGCGCAACCGCACGTCCTCGTCGTGAGAGGTGGTAACACTGGGCACAGTATGGTTTGGTCTTGTGCCACGGGACCGCTACAGTAACCATAGGTTACACGGAAACGTCCTGGCCAACAGGCCTCTGGTGAAGCTGCGAAAGGCCTAGAAAGCCAGCAATGAATTTAATACCGCTACAACAAGTACAATGAAAAAAAAACCGGACTGATCAAACGGCACTAGATCATGGCAATATTAGAGAACCTCAAGCTCCCTCGACACCTGAAGCGGTAAAAGAGGACTAAAGAAGAACAATCCCTGCCCTCCCCCCTCCCCTGTGGCGCCTGGGTCCCACGTTTGGAAACACTGACATGCCCGATGCGCAACTGGCGTGTACAGGGATCTTATTTTTTTAAATACATATGGCTTTACTGCAGTGGTACGAGGGTAGCACCGTGGAAGACGACAGACACTGGAACCTAATCACGTCAGTGTCCCCCGTAGCCAACCTCGGCTGTGGAGACGGTACTTTTAAAACATACTCAAATCATCATCTTCTTTTTTGTTCACAGACTGTAAGCTCTAGTGGAAAGTCCTGGGTGTTCGTTCATTTTGGACTTTGGCGTTACGCCAGGGCCTGAATTGTTATATGTATCTCTGTTTTACTGGCTTATCTGTGTGCAACTAGTTGTTCTTGCTGCTGGGACAGCTGCACTCCGACTTTCAAGGAAGCTCCAGGTAAGTCGACTCCTTCGACATGCTTGTTAGGGAGTCAGTGGGTCTATTCTTGCACCCCCCCCCTTCCACTGGGGCCCCGGAACCCACATAGGGAAGACTAAAATCATATAATAATAATTACCTGATAATTTCACCGTTCTTGTCCGTAGAAGATTTACAGTAATTCTCTGGCTCCGCTCCGCAGGTGCTGGAAGCGACCACCCGTTTGCCGAAAGCAGCATTGACAAAGTCTGGAATACATCGTTTAGGCTTCCCATTCTCGTGACAAGGATCGACGTGTTCTCCCTTTGTAGCAAACATGGAGTCCAAATATTTGTTTTTGCTTGCTTGAGCACCGAGTTCCGAGCTCATGAAGAACAGGACAGCAAGACACACGACAACCGCCATTGCTAATATGCCCACGTGTGATGGAATGGTTGAATGAAGTTGAAAATGTCAAAGAGACTGTTGACCTTATGATCAACCTTTGCTCATATCTGCTTGTCGTCGCTGATTCAACAAATGGACAGGGTGATTCGGAAAACCAGCACTGGTTTTACGAAAGAGGAATTAAATTTACAGCAATTTCCTTTACCGGCTGGGTACTCCATGAGTCAAGAAACAGCGAACTGGGAGTAAAATCTCAGGTTGTCCACAGTTGCTCCATGGTTTCTCAACATTGTTGACTCAGATGAAAATGCTGGGGGAGGTTATCTGATGCTAATCCATTGATAATTTCCAGTGAAGAGATCGCAAGCAGATCTTGTGAAGGAAACTGGACATCTGGGCCTGTTTAAGAATAATAAATACAAGAATGCAACATTAAAGTCAGTACTGTCTCTCATAATGATGCATGTGTTTTAGGTTTAGACGACGAATCAACATCATGACACAAGGGGTAACCCATAAGTGCTACGTTCTACTTCTGACTCAAGCCTGAGTCCGAAGAATCTCAGCGCAGTGCAAGAACTCCGTAGGATTCTAAAATACTTTGGGTAGAATTTCAATTCTAAATTTTGCCCGCGCGGCGCTTTTAGGCTACTCTTTTCAAATTTCAACTGCCAAGTGATTTTCTTACGGGCACAGGAGTCCGATCTTACTAGCCAGACACCATAATCATCCTTCACCGGTACCTGGTATGAAGTGTTGGCTTTCAAAACTATGCACAATTCATGACAGTGCCATGTCACATCTTGACCTGTGTGTTTTGTTGTCATGATCGACGTCTTTGCACACCGAGTATTTGCACTGTCAGTGCTGCAGGCACTCCAAGGTACCTCTACTGACTGTCCCATGGGAAGTTAGTCATGGTATCTCCTGTCTTTACCTGGAAAACGGCATGGACATGCTTCACCAAGAATAAACCTCGGTCACGCAGTCGTTTTAGCATCAGAGGTTTGCCATTATCCCCAGCCTAGTCCTTACAGTGTTGATGATAACAGCTCTATGCTTTTTCCCGTTTGCATTAGTGCATTACTTGCCAGCTGGTCAGCTCTTTCGTTACCATTTACTCCTGCGCGCCTAGCGTGTCCTGTTTGATCGCTCTGTGTATGTGCGTGTGTGTATGTGTGTCTGTGTATGTGTGTCTGTATGTGTGTGTGTGTATGTGTGTGTGAAGTGTTAGCAACACAAATATAAGACACTAACTCTTTTAATACCAAATAACATCATCATCATCATCTAGTGGTGCCGCTACTGGCCACATAGGGCTCGCAGTCTATCCTCGATCCGGTCTATCCTGTGCATTACTCAGATATCATAGAGAGACCCTCAGATATCATAGAGAGACCCTCAGATATCATAGAGAGAACCTCAGATATCATAGAGAGACCCTCAGATATCATACAGAGACCCTCAGATATCATACAGAGACCCTCAGATATCATACAGAGACCCTCAGATATCATAGAGAGAACCTCAGATATCATAGAGAGAACCTCAGATATCATAGAGAGAACCTCAGATATCTTAGAGAGAACCTCAGATATCATAGAGAGACCCTCAGATATCATACAGAGACCCTCAGATATCATAGAGAGAACCTCAGATATCATAGAGAGAACCTCAGATATCATAGAGAGACCCTCAGATATCATAGAGAGAACCTCAGATATCATAGAGAGAACCTCAGATATCATAGAGAGAACCTCAGATATCATAGAGAACCTCAGATATCATAGAGAGAACCTCAGATATCACAGAGAGACCCTCAGATATCATAGAGAGACCCTCAGATATCATAGAGAGAACCTCAGATATCATAGAGAGAACCTCAGATATCATAGAGAGAACCTCAGATATCATAGAGAGAACCTCAGATATCACAGAGAGACCATCAGATATCATAGAGAGACCCTTAGATATCATAGAGAGACCCTCAGATATCATAGAGAGAGCCCCAGATATCATAAAGAATCTTTTTTTTTTTCTGTCATTGGATGCTCTTTATTGTTTAAGTTTTTTGTTAAGTATAGTTGGCAGTTGAATTCAGAAAAAGAAAACAAAGTTTGGTGGAAACGCTTGGTTGCGTGTATTAGAATAAAACTGTACACATACTGCGATATTCACTTTAAAAAAAAAAAATCCTGTGCCACCAGTGACATCAATTGCTTTCTACTTGACCCATTCATGATATTAATTTTAAAATCATAAAGAATCTAGTTCAGCGACCCCGACTCTCAGAATCGTTTATCTCAGGGTCTTGCTTGCACGTTCTCCCCCATTGAGTCCATTTGACAATTAACTCCCCAAACATTTTATTTGTATTTCTCGGTTCATGATATAGCGGACTGTTTTGTAAAGCTGACATTGGCTTCCAGGTGGGAAGTAAAGGCTGTCGATGCTTGACCACATCACACATAGAGTGCCCATTGATCTATTAAATACAAGTCTAGCTCTTTACGTCCGATACACCTGATTACTGATTTAAGAATCGACAGTATAGCACACCGGGCAGATCCATAGATGGGGCATACCCATCTCCAGCAGCCCATGTATTAAGGTGTAGATGCCATCTGTTCCCGTAGCACACTGATTATACACACGTCGTTCTCTTCCTCCCATTCGTCCTTCCTTGCCGGATCCACACTGAATCCCTCGTTCACACATTCTTGTCAATGTTATTTCATCTAATCTCGTGTCTTCTGACAGCAGGAGTTCACTCATGGTCCTCAGAATATCCCCCTTGTCCAGTGCTAGTGTTCCCATAGCTTTTGGTTTGTAGCCAGAAAATCCACTCTTTCATTCCCTCTCACTCTCGCATATCACAGACAGTATATCCACGTAATTCCCAGCAATGTTGGCGTACTTCTTCTTCTTTCTTTTTTGCGTTCACCAGCTGTACACTGCTCCAGAACCTGAGTGTTGAGTGTGCATCAGTTTTACAGATCTCATTCTCTTGAATACAGACTGTTGGTTCCTTGCCTCTCCGGCAGATGCACTCCGACTTCAAAGGAAGCTCCCCAATTAGTCGACTCTTACGACATGCTTTTGAGGAGGCAGTGGGTCTATTCTTGTTTTCCCCACAATGGGGCCCCGGAACCCACACGGGGCCCCAGAACCCACACGGGGGTGTTGGCGTACTGAGGAAGACGCGGTAAAGTGTTCTTTATACATGGTATACATAATAAACTATTTTATTTTTAGTTATTTTAACCTTTTCTATCTAGGTTGGTATATTAATTATTTATCATCATCACCATGAACCACTTCTGCTGTTAGGCATCGCGGGGAGGAATAATTTGCGATCCAGTGCACGTTGGCTGCCACTGACTATTGTCATGCCGTGAAGGTGTAGTGTCTTTAATATTGGCGATCCATGCTTTCCGCGGCCGTCGTCTTGCTCTTGTAGCTGATCTTCTGAGATGTTGTGTTTGTGATGGTATTTGATCTTGCTGCATTCTAACCAGATGGCCAAACCACTTGATAATATGTTAAATGAAAAAAGATAATTTTCTGCCTGTCTATCAAAGGTAAATGCCTGCCGACAGGTGAGCATACAGGCACAACCCTGCTGGCAGGTGAGCAGACAGGCAGCCATGTGATCAGGGCGCTGCGTGGTCACGAGGCATAGCGTCCCCTTTGAGTGCTTGAGGTCTCGGTTTCAAGCCCCGGTGACAGCTGGAATTTTTTTTTTCAAGTGGACTTCTAGTAATTTCCCCTGGCCTCTGGGTAGTAAGCTCGGACGCCTGTGTGTATTGTTGCATACGTAAAACCCTTGGCAGTTGGAAATAGAAAAAGAGTATCCTAACGGCGCTGCCCGGACAAAATTTGGAGTTAAAAATCAACCTAAAGTTGGTGCGACTGAGTTTGTTTCACTGCGCTGAAATTCTTCGGACTCAGGCTTGAGTTACCATCTAAACCAAAACAACGCGATCAGACAGGCAGGCAGGTGATCAAACAAGCAGGCAGATGCTCAAACAGGCAGGCAGGTGCTCAGGCAGGTAGGCATGTGCTCAGACAGAAGGGCTGGTGATCTAACAGGCAGACAGGTGATGAGTCAGCCAGGCAGGCTAGTGAACAGACAGACAGGCAGATGAGTAGACAGACAGACTGGTGATGAGACAGACAGGCAAGTGATGTGACAGACAGAAAGGTGATTAGACAGACAGGTGATAAGACAGACATATAGGTGATGAGACAGACAGACATGTGATGAGACAGACAGACAGGTGATAAGACAGATAGGTGATGAGACAGACAGACAGGTGATAAGACAGACAGGTGATGAGACAGACAGGCAGGTGATCAGGCAGGCAGGTGATTAGACAGACAAGCAGGTGAGCAGACACACTGCTAAAAGACTGGCACAAAGTAGGAAAAATGAAAGGCAGGCACACATAAATGAAGACAAAGTGACCATCTGAGAACAAGAAATTCCTGTGTGCTTTCCGTGGCCCCACTGTCCGGAAAACAAGAAAAGACCCAATGCTTTCCAAACAAGCATGTCGTAGGAGTCGACTAATTGCGGGCTTCCTGCAAAGTCGGAGTACATCTGCCTGAGAGCTAAGGAGCCATGAGTCTGCATACAAATAAGCCAGTCGTGTGAACCTATGTGCACGCAGCACTCAGGATCTGGAACACGACTAAAGTACGGAGGTTGACGAACGACACAATTTTCCAATGATGTCTACAGCCGGTGAACGCGAAAAATGCGAAGAAGAAGAAGACGAAGACGAGACGAAGACGAAAAAGAAAATGAAGAAGAAGAAGAAGAAGAAGAAGAAGAAGAAGAAGAAGAAGAGAAGAAGAAGAAGAAGAAGAAGAAGAAGAAGAAGAAGAAGAAGAAGAAGAAGAAGAAGAAGAAGAGGAAGAGGAAGAAGAAGAAGAAGAAGAAGAAGAAGAAGAAGAAGAAGAAGAAGAAGAAGAAGAAG